GGCATCTAAGCGAAGAGGAGCAGCAACTGATGATTATCAGGAAGTGCTTAATTCTGAAGAACAAGTAGTTCTTAAAGAACAATACAGCATGGATAATGCCATGGAGGATAAAATTTGTGATCTTTATGACTTATATGTTCAGGTGCTGTTGGCAACTAACTATTCATGTTCTCTGCAATATTAAATTGTTTTATTAATTTACTAAGTTCTTTACATTATTAAAATTTTAGGGGATGGATGAAGACAAAGGTCCACAAATCAGAAAGTTATATGTTGAGGTAGTCATTGTGCCTATGCATACTCTTTTGGTTGCTTGTTCCAAGTTATTTGCTTGTCTTTTGCACCCTAGCTTTTCATGGTACTGAAATGTAAGCATGAAGTGTAGCATTAACAATTATGACCTAATGTGTGAAGCATTGTTCTCAACTCTCGATGCTTATGGCTTAGGTGTCATTCTTTCACTTTATTCTCTTCTTCAGTTCAAATACTTTAGTTCCCTTGATCTGCCAAATTTGTAGCTACTGACAGAATAGGGTTAGGATAATGGATGACAACATTGTAGTTTGATACTTACACCATGGTGACAACCAAGTAGTTAGATGGTTAGATATAGTTGCCAATCTGAAGAACTATGAATTATCCCAGAAAACATCATATCAAGGAAAGCTGTATTTAAGGTGCATGACTATCTTTGCATTATGTGAGGAGTGTGATGTATATCCTAAAAGTATGGAAAGGCATCATGCCTCAATAAAAATGTAAAAGACGTAGAAGAATCAAAAGAGTTAAGAGGGCAGACCGTTAGAGGCAAACAGAAGGAGTTTGTATGTGTGGCATGCACATGCATGTGCACAAGGAGGGAAGCCAGGATTGAAACTTTGAGGCCCAGTGCTTCTTAAGTTAAGAAAGAATGATGTAATGTTAAAAAACTGTTCATATTTAAAAATATGTATATATATATATATATTATGATTTTAACTTTTTCATAGAAGTTATTATCAAATAACTTTTTCTTTTTTTTCTGTAACTTCATTTTAACAAAGTTTAATATTATCTTTTGTTTCTTGATGTCGCTAATGAATTTTTTTTATGTATCATCATATGTAATTAAGATATCCTTGTGTAAAATTTTCTGATCAAGGGCTTGGATATTCTTCAAGTTTAGATTTCATGAGTGTCTTCAACTCATTTGGTTCTATTAACTTTGACTAGTAATTTTAATTTGTTTGTTTCTGCCTGCTTCATTTCATCATTAATATAATATTGTACATTTGTCCCTGCCTGTTTCATCACATTGAAGGGGATCAATAATACTTTTATATCTTGAAATATGGGTGTGATTGCAATGTGTGCATATGAACTTGTAATTGAAGCAATGTGCCTCTTGATTTTGGTGGATTTTTAAGATCTGTTAAATTGCATCTGAAAATTCTGCTAAAAGTTAATGACATTTTCTTGCTCCAGCTATAATTAGATAGGTAATGAGTCATTTCTTTATCCCTTTCAAAGGTCCACCTGCCCATTTGTTGATTACCAGTTAAGTACGCAGTTAATGGAAGTTTTCATCAACATCATATCAAATTTAGTATTGTGAAATGCCCTATATGTTAGGGGGAATATTTCTTTGGTTAGTTATTTGGCCGTAACTTAAGATTGACCTCATAATTCAGGGGGTAGCATATAATTGGCCGCATCAATAAGTTCGCCCTTTTTCTCGTGCTTTCTCTGTAGACAGGAATTTAAGTATTTTTGTTGTAATTTTTGGCAACCTAGCTAGCTGGACCTTTATATAATTTCATTGTTTTCCTTTATTGAATGGTTTTATTGATACTCCATATGGGTGCCATCCAGCTTTCAGAACTGTGGCCAAATGGAATCATGGACAACCATGGGATTAAAACTGCAATTCGTAGGGCAAAGGAACGCAGAAGGGCATTGTGTGATTATGATAAGGTATGCATGTGTCTTGTAATTATAGCTCAATATAAATCTTTGGTTCAATCTTGCTTTAAAATATGGTGTCATTAGATATTTAAAAGAGGAGATGATGATCAAACGCATTGATTTAGTTTATTTAGTTCAAAATCAATGAAAAGAATAAATAAGTGTATACTGGATGTAGAGTGTTGTCTTTTTAAAGATATGGAGGCCTATGTCTTGATGGTAGGCTGTTGAAGGACTGGGTTTAGATCTTAGATATTTGCAAATGGAGGTTTCAATGAAGGGATATATTGGGACAGGTTATGGCTCATACCAGACTTGTTTTTTGTCACTAAGTCAGGACTTCTGTTGTAGGTACTTATATTGTTAAAAGGCGTTTATGTTAATAGTTTCAAAATTCTTTATTGTGAATATAAAGGACATAGGGACTGTTTAACTAAAATTTTGAATAATTTTGAATAAAAATGGACTTAATTCTGCACTTGACCTTTAATCAATAGTTGCTAGTCATCAGGCAGCACCGTGCAGGAGTGCAGTGGGCCAACATAAACATTTCATGTATTTTTCTTCATTTATTTAAATGTTTCTTAGTTTTGTAAAAGGTTATATATTAGACAAATCATTGGTTGCATGTTTTCCTTATTACTGTTGCCTATGGCAAGGGCTGCATTCTGATACGGAGAAGCAGCACCATAGAAACATATTGGATGCATTTTTAGGACCTGCAACATTTAATGTGTCATCCTGAGTGGAAGTTTTAATTTAGAATTTATGAAATGATTTAATGCTGGTTCTACCATCTGAATCAAATTTAAAAAACTAAAGAACCAAATCTTTCTGGCGACTGAGGATCTATTCCAAGTTTCTCTCTTGTTTCCATTGAACCATAAAAAGCAAAAGTGAAAAGGATTTCTCTCTTGTTTCCTCGTCTTTCTGTACAAGAGCTGCTTTGAATAGTCCATTACATTGATTTTTATTTATCAGTATCTGCTCAAGATGCCCCTAATAATCTATTGAGTCAATTCAGTACGAATATTATTTGTTTAGATGCATCAAATACCTATAAATAAATTTCCAAAATTATTACAGTAATGACCATGGAACTTTGTGAAGCACATGCATGTGATGGACTTCAGTATGCAATATTTAGTGCTCTGAATCTGTAGCCCTGATATAACCAACAGACCTTATGTTGGAATATTTTGTTGTACATTGGTATTGGACAACAATGCATCGCTGCACAGTATGCCATTGAAGTGTATAATTAAGATCTTGCACAGAGTTTATGTAACCATGAGAATCATGATGCTGCGGTCTATTTAAGATTTGATTTGCAGAATTTTAAGTTCCAACAGTTGCTTATACAGGCAGATTTGAGGCTTCTTACTTGTTAGTAACATAGAATGTAGTTCATTAAAATTTCTTTTGATCTGAAACTGAAATCTATTTTTGCTTTTCTTAGCTATGGTTTTAAATGTCTGGGCATATTTGTTGTTAAGGTTAGAGAGAAGGACAGGAGAAAGAAGCCTGCACAGAAAATGGAGGTTGGTGTTCGAGGGGAAGCTAGTTCAATCTCTCAATTGCAGGCTGTGCAAGAGAAGCAGACTTCTGAGCCCAGTAGTCATGTTTTGGCGTTGCCTTGTAGGGCGATTTCCTGTACAGAAACCATGGATGAGCACCTTGCTGCACCTCTGGAGATTTCCAGTGTATCACTGAAAGGTTCTAGCATGGATATTTCTAAACCAGAGAAGATTGAGAAAATGACAATCCCAATGTTGAAAGAGCAAACGAAGCAGCAGCAGCGGGAATTGGAGAACAGAGTGAAGAAATTATCCTTGAAACCGGAAAGGGAATCTCGCAAATCTCATAAGCGGGCTATTGGACACCAAGATGCGGCGAATTACGAATTGGCTGCCCCCCCAAGCTGTGGACGTCCCCTCTGACTTTTCTTGGCTTAACTGGAAGTTTACAACTTGGAGATGTGAGGCGATGTAAAGTGCAAATTTGTTTGTATAATCCTAGGGAATCGGCTGATCTTAGATGCTTCTTTTTTGTCAGTTGTCTTTCTGCACTTGGCATTAGGGTAATTTCACAATAGAGTAGATAATTAGCATTATTACTGCTGTAGTCTAGAGTTGCCCTTTGATAGCGATAGCAGAGTGCTGTTTTTGTTTTTTTTTTTACTTGGAGAAAAAAAATTGAGGGTTTTCAAACATTGTAGAGGAAGGATTCTTGCATTTGTCACAAATAATGAATTTATTTTATCTTGGAAAATACAGAAATTTGGGGGTTAGGCTAAAGTCACAGATGTCAGGAACTGCTTTATGTGAGTAGTTGTTTATGTTGTGCGGTTTTTGACACTCCAAAGTCGTCTCATGACAAAGCTGCTTCAAGTTTTCGTCAGGAAATTCCTCTTCCAAACGCTTTCTCAGTATTAATATGACAATGCATGGTAGGAAGTTTTGAAAAGAGTGTTATCTATTTTATTAGTTTAATTTTTCCAAAAAGGGGTAATGACTTTGTCAAGTTGTTTTAATCTCATATCAAGTATGGTAAGATATTTTTAAAAGAGTGTTAAATATTTTATTAATTTATTTTTTGAAAAAAAATAATGAGTTCATATAAAATGATAAAATTGTATAAAAGTGGATTTGATTTACATCAATCAAATTTTTTTTTTGGAAAGAAAGTTTCAACTAATCTTAATATAAAATCATATTTTTATAATTCAAAAAAAGGAATTGAGACATTTGGATAAAAATAAATAAATAAATTATTGCTTTCTATTTTACAAATTGAATTTTAACTTTTGAAATATTGAAATATATATACACTTTGGATTGTTTTTCTACTAATTCTCTATATTAAAAACGGTAAGCTATTAAAAATATTATTTATTATTATGAACTTAAAGGAAGGTTTTTTACAGTATGAAATGTTTAATTTGAAAATAAGGGAATATTTTTTTTAATATATTTTACTTGGCTTTTAATTTATGTAAATGGTGAAATATCTGCCTCTCGGACTTGGGCATCTTTAGCCAAGTTTAAAAGCAAAGCAAAAGGCGGTCCTCAGTCTTTAGTCGAGGCTCGAGAGGGAGTTAACTGAGATAAAACCAAGCTTGCGATTTGCGACGAAGGAAACGAGGTGGAGAGAATGTCTTATAGAGGGAAGAGAAAGGACGCAGAGGATCACGCTTCCGACGAGAACGACGACCACGCGCCTCCCAAGAAATCTTTCAAGACTACTGCTGCCGCCAACTCTGACGATCCCGACGGAATCGTCGTATGCGAGGTCTCTCTCCACATTCTCTCGCTGTTTCTCATCTTTTTTTCTATATTTAGTCTTCATTTTTTCAGACACATGCAATTCTAGGGTTTTGTTTTGTTTTTTTTTTTTAATTTCTTATGAAAAATGTTAATGAAATGTGGGATTATTTTTTTCTTTTGGGGGCGGGGGGGGTGCTGTAGATATCCAAGAACAGAAGAGTTTCGGTAAGGAACTGGCAGGGCAAAATTTGGGTTGATATTCGTGAATTCTATGTGAAGGATGGCAAACAAATGCCTGGCAAAAAAGGTACCTTTTCTGTTTAATTTCTAAAGTGTATGGTCTGAAGTCTTTGTTATTTCTGTTTTTTATTTTTAGTTGTTTTGACTTAACTTACCCAATCTCTAATATGTACAACAAGGGTTTTTTAACTGAGAAAGGGAGTTTCATTTTCGTGTTATGTTGTTGGATTCAGGCCTGCTTTCCTGCTACCTTTGATATTTGGGGTTTGCTTTAGAGTTCAAGTTGTTGCCTCATTTTTGTTGTTCATGTGATAGGGCTTTTTGTTTCAGTAAAGTATTGCACCTAAATGTGAGGGGAAATGCTAATTGATATTAGGAAGTTTGGTTTGTTGTTACTCTCATCTAGGTCAGACCTTTTTACCTATTGTCAATTGGTTTAGGTTGGATTACAAACATGGTTTCACGGTACAATTTGTTATTTGTTGCTTGTACTCTTGTGTTCTTTGTTCATATTATAGGCCTTTTTAAAAGTTTTTAATGCTCTACTGAAGTTTACCATCTGTTAAAGCTCAATAGTTATGACTAACACCTTTTTATGCTCTTCTAGGTATCGCTCTAAGTCTGGATCAGGTAAGCATCGCAAAGTTTATGCTTTCTAATCTGATGATCATGGAGACATTTCACTTATCTTGATTGTGGTGGTGTTTCAGTGGAATCTTCTACGGGATCATGTTGAGGAAATTGACAAGGCACTTGCTGAGAACTCTTAAGGGCATTAGTAGACATGGCTTACCATGTACAGAAGATTATGGGAGTCTAAGGTGTAAGGGTTTCTTTTTATGCTGGAAAGTGAGCTGGAGGCCGAGGTTTTACATTTTACCAGGGGTCTATCTGGACTTGTTTCTGAAGTTGCTAAACTTAAGAGAATTTCATGAGGCGGGCCTTGCTTTTGTGTAATTAGTTGTGTAGCTGTAGCTATTAGACTAATATATGTGTTATCTTGATGTTGGATGATATTAACATGGTCGGTAAATGGAGACATGGAGGAAATAGATAGGCCTCTATAGTTTTCAGTTGAAGATTCTGGCAATTTTCATGAATTTTGAACCCTAGCAGCACGAATTAAATCTAGGACACTGGTTAGTTAGGCTTGAAAAGATAGTAGTCTGCTATCCAGAAAAAGAGTAAAACGTAATTCAGAAGAGAAAGTGAAAAGAAGAAGAACAAGAAAGAAACGAAACTCAGTTTCGGCATTTCCTATGCTAAATGTTGCTCCCTTTTTATTTTTTTTAGGAAAAACGTATTATTGAAAACAAGGGCTTCTACTGAAAAGATTCGAAATCCCTCTGATTTCGAAATTTGAGTTCGTATGCCATTTTATTTAGAAATGAAACCGGCATTTTGAAAGACCATACACAATACCAAATCCGACGCTGTTTAACCGCCCAAATTGGTGTAAAATCCACGAAACAGTGCCAAATGGCAAATGGCATGCTTCCCCTAACCAACTCTAAAAATGAATCAATGGAAGAATCTTGGCTGCTTGCCCTTTTAATAGAAACAAGAAAGACAATTCTATTGGCATCAGCAAAGACATCCAGAATGGCTAACCAAATTAAATATAACTGTAGAAGTTGATGCCAAGTGGCAAGAGCAGGAGGTAGAAAGTTCTTGAACATCTTAAGCTCCTCTAGTTTGCTCGTGCTTTTAAAGTAAAAAAAAAGGGAAAAGGAAGATCTAAATACAGATTGAGGGCAATTTTTGCAAGTTTGCTTGGCGTTCACATTGGAACAAGCATACACATGCACAAATAGAAAATATATACCAATTTGAAACTGATATATCATATTAGAACTTGAATCTTATGGTAGTTTTGCTTGATGAAAGAGTTGGAGCACAAAGAAACATATCAATATACGACATTGTCCGCATTGACAGAACATTACTATACACACTAAAAAAATAAAGAGGAAAAAAACTAAAATTCAATAAGAACTCAGCATCTTTCTTCTTTTGGCTTCAATCAACTGGGAAAACTCACCCTTTTAGAAGTTCTCCAATAATAATAAAATAAGATATGAAGAAGCAAGACAGCAAAAACTATATCAAGGCAGTCAATCTGATGTAGTAAGGGCTGAATGCAACACATCTTCAAGATATTTTTCTGCAGCAGCATACTGCCTTTTCTTGTCCTCAATTGCTAAAGCGGCCAAAGCTTTATCCTGCATAGACAAAAAATGGTAATTAACGCACTTGTTAGAGGACCTTCCCTCATGATTAGTACAAACATTACTAGAACACCAAAGAAAGATTTTTAATTCCAAGACAAGTATCAAAGAGCATCATCCCTATTTGAAGGACAAGGATATGGAACCTATGCCCTAAGTCAATAACAGACAAGAAAAAGAAGACAATAACATTGAACTTAAACAGAGACCAGCTGAATCATCAGCATATGGAATACAAATTACTATCTACATTATGACTTGTCGACAAGGATACAGGTGCTACATGACATGAAGTGCCAAGTAGAATATCCCCAAAATGTTGAAACACATTGGAAAAAGGATGTCTAATGTATGTGTCTTTCAATATTAAATGTATACATTAATTATACATCAGCTATACATTTGCTTAGATCGAAACCATAAATGATATTGAGAAAGAAATATGCATGTGAAGTTTCATTGACGATATGCATAGCAACCTCATAAATCTCAAACTACTTTTTAAATAAATTAAATTACCCTTCTAACTTTCAACAAGACATGATGGGCAATGAACCCAATTGGACAAGAGGGTCCTCTACCTAAGTGTTTGATATAGGAAATAAATACTACGTGTAATGTAGTGGAAATTTCAACTTGCATGGAAAAAACATGAACCCCCAGGCACGATAATGCTTGAACATTAATTATAATAAAATATTACCGGAGGCAGGTCCTGGTAGCTCCTCAAAGTATCTAGGATGGGCTTGGTCTTCTTCTCTAAATCCTTTCTGTGCTCAGCCATTTCAACCAACACCCCATGGTTAATCTCAGGTGTGTAGCCCACACGATTCAATAATGCCTGTCAAACAAGATTAAGCATAAATGAAATGCAAAAATTCTTCAAGCAAGAAAAGTGCAGGAGATGATTAGGACACCAAATGCTTGATACCAACAATGAGGGAAACAAAGGAGACTAGCAGTGTCCCTGTAGTTCTATGTCTAGTACTTTATTATTTAAATTGTATTATATGCACAAGTGCAAAATTCACCAAAGAAGATGATTGCAGTGTCCTTGTAGTTCTATGTCTTGTACTTTATTATTTAAATTCTATTATATGCACAAGTACAAAATTCACCAACGAAGATGATTCATCTACTCAAATGATCTAATGCTAAATTTGCAGTGACTATCAACTAGAAATTCTGAAAGCAATCATTGACCATACACAGGAGGGGAAGAACACCTATCTTGCTTTTGGTATTAACAGGTAGGAGTGAGAACAAATATCTTGGTCAATAATGAACAATTTTACAGGATGGTGGAGATAATAGCTGAATACTTTCACCTATTTGGAAGAAACTAAGATCCTATAAAGCTCAGAAAATATTGTCAGAGTGCATAAGTTTATAGATTGCAAAATGGTGCATATTTAACAGCTATACTGATGGGCAACTATGGCAAAGTGAGGTTCAAGTTTTGACAAATAATACGAAGTAATCAAACAATCTAAAGTCTGGCTCTAGCTTCTTAATAACAGGTCACTCTAACTTCATCTTCTGCTTCTACTTGAAGCCAAAAGCCCAAAACCTAAGAAAAAAATTTCAAATGAACAACCACTTGAAAATCTATTTGGAAAAAGAGCAAACATGATAAAATAAGAAGAACAAACACTCTTAACAAGTCCAAATGTCCATTCCTATTTCCATATGCCATTGAATAACTTTTGTGCTGCCAGTCAACTACAATATGAACCATGAATATCCCAGTAAATTTCAACAACTTAGGGTGCTGGCAGCTTGCCTTTTCCTCCATTTGCATCCTTCCTCACTGGTATATAGCAAGGTCATCTCACAAAAAACAACAGCCTAAATTTCTGTAACTAGTTCTGCAACTTAATTTTACCCTCAAAATGATAATAATAATACAAAGGAATCATACCTTATAGTTGTTATACTGTTGTATATACTGTCGCTCCTTTGATGCCATAACTCCTAAGTTCGTCTTCCAATTTTCCATTTGAGCCTCACAGGGAGACACATCATCTTCTAGTTGCGCTAACGTCCTACACCACAAAAGCCAGTTCTTCTCCAATAACCACCACATAGATTCAAACATAGAACTAACGGGTGGCAAATGTACACAGATTTACCTTTTCAGATAGGTTAGCCTTGCAATTGCCTTTCTAGTATACTCAAGAAGAGTTTTGGACTCTTTGTGCACTTTGGCCCTCTTCTCCTCCACCCCAGTTTTTCTCAACGAAATATCACCCATTGCCACAAGAAAACTAAATTTGATATTTTTTCTCAATTAAATTCCGAATATAAGGCAAGGAAATCAACATGAAATATGGAAATATTAGAAAAGGTAAGCTTAAGGCAATCCTACCTACTAAGTTCAGTGTCTCTAATATTCAACAAATTAGCTACATTTGCCAGAACTTGCGCCGACGCAACCACATTTGACGGTAAACTCTCCTGCGCTAATCCCACATTCTCCAATATCTCTCTAATCCGTGCCGCTACAAAAGAAATTTTCATTTTAACAAGAATATGATGAAATTATTTAAATTAGAGAAATTTAATTAAAAAAAACTAATGATTTTCTCGGTATGAAAAAAGGGTGGGACCTTGAGAACGGTACTCGGCGGCTTTCTGTCGAAAATCGTTGGCAACAATGCTGGCAGCTTGAGTCTTGGCTTGGGAGACGGTAGCCAGATTGTACAAATAGGCAATGCTTCGCGGAGTGTATTCGAAATCAGGGACGTCTTTGCCGGCAGCATCAAACTGAGCCGCGAGCCACGCCTTAACTTCCGCAATTCGAGTGGCGTCTGATCCTCCGCCCTTTGTTGCGTCTGTTGCCACCGGATCACCCACTCCGGAGATCATTTCATTCATTGTTTTGTTTTTTGCAGTGAGTCGACTCGTGAGTTGGAAGCGAGTACTAGTGATTCTGATTTTAAATTATAAGAGATTTCGGTAATAAGTCGCAAACCGAAGAGACAACGTCCCTTTTAAAGGCTAAGCTCGCCTGCTTTCATCTTGCCCCTTTTTTTTTTTTTTCTCTTTTTTGCAAGCACGGTCTCGCGTTCAGTGTCACGAATAGGAACTTAAGCCAACTCCGTGCGACCAATTCATGTTTATATGCTTAACATGTATCCAATTTTTACTGATATAATATTCGAAAGAAAAAATTATGAAGAGTAATTCTCTTTTATAAGAATACTTTAAAAATAATTATTAAAATAAATTTAATTATTTTTAATTATATTTAATTATAATTTGATAAAAATATTTTTAAAAATATTTTAAATAAATTAAATTATTTATCTCAATTTCTTTTTATTTGTGTTTTTTATTTTTCTCTATTTCTTTTTAATTTTTTTTATTTCTCTTTTCGATATTTATTTGCTATACTTCTTATTTCTCTTTCTCACACTTTTAAAGTTCTCTTTTCTATAATTTTAAGACAATAAATGATAGTTTTGATGTAATCGAGATAGGTGGTTATTTAAGAAATTTAATTTTTTTAAGTGTTTTGGATAAAATTAAAATGGTAGAAATGATTTGAAATAGATTTTAATTGGATCAATTTGGGACTAAGATACTAATAAACTCAAAATTTTAAAATTTATAAACCCAAGTTTCAAAAAAAAAATTCGATTTTTAATCGAAATGGGTGTTTTAGATATGAAAATTTGTATTTTTATTTATGAAAACATGTTTGAAACACTTTAATTGGTGTTAAATTATAAAAACTAAAAAGAAAAAAGAAATGAACAGCATTGAAAAGATTCGAAGTTTTAGTGCGTAAATAACAACAATATTTTAGGCATTAAAGTGTAATAAAATGTTTTTGAATATAGCGTGTA